TTAAGAAGGAGTAATTTTAAAAATAATCATCTAAGAATAAACGTGAAAATGCCGAGACATTTCTTACCTCACCACAAAAATGCTACAATTACTATAAATAACTGAACTATAGTACCAATGTGACTGGTATAGCTGACCAACTCTGCTAACCTAATATATTACATAACTGTAGTAGTCAAATGAGAAATGAAAGCAATCTCAGGTACTGGATGCTACACTCCTTCCCTAATAATTAGTTAATTCATTTTGGTTGTGGAATTTGCCTATAAGTTGATTGTCTTGTACATTTTACGTCAAGGTTCTTTAAAGAAAAACCTGGACATCCAGATCTCTTTTTGGATTTAAGCAATCAGAACTGAAGAAATTATATTCAACCACAGCACATACCGACACAGTAGCAGTTAGAGCACAGCTCAAGCATGCACGCATAGAAACGCAGGACACACACTAAATTCAAGAAAGAGTAGAAACAAAGAAAAAACAGCAGAATCAAATCTAGGAGGAAGAAAGGGAGTTAAAATCCATAAAATAATCTGGGTACTTTGGAAACTAATTTTCCATAACCAAGATACTGGCTTTCATTTTTGGTAACACTGGATAGTTTCTAGCCAAAAGTACCAGGGAAAAGCTCAGCTGTGAACCCAGCACACGCTTTAAAATGACTTTGAAATGAAATTACACCATAAAACACTCTCTTACAATGATAATGTCCAAGGAAACACAATAGAAGAAAACAAATCATTTCCAACATAAATGCAGTATTTCCAAATTAGTAAATAAACTATAAATGCAAACCCCTCTGAGTATTTATTTTAACAGATAAAAGTTTTAAGTATTTCTTTATAGTCATTACTAAATTTTTAGTTAGAGGAACACAAAAGTATAAATATTGAAAAGTAGTATTTAAGGAATCAGTCTTTAAAATGGCTTCAACATCAAGTTTGGTATTTTTCTATTTTGTTTCTTGAGGCATTCTATTTTGATTGAATAATATGGTACTGGAAAAGTTCCTTGTATATTCCTTCAAACACTCTATGTACTGTTAAAGCACAGTGCTTAAATTTTGAAATTTTCAGGACTATTGGTGCATCACAGCATATCTTTAGCATTCTATTTCCCCATAACTGCTGAAGGACTTTGCTAATGCTGAAAACCCACTGAGCCCTTATTATGAAAGCCTAGATGGAAAAGAGCCTGGTGCTCAAAAGAAGAACAGACTGCCTAAAGTTTTCTGCCCTTTTTTTCTCTCAGTTTAAAGATCAAACGAGAAATCACTGGGCAATGTTACATATCCTATTTTGTCATTTAGCAGATGACAACTAAAAACAAGGATCATTTTCACTTCTTAAAGTGTAAGCTTTGTTTTCTCCTGTTGAACTGTATTCTTCTTTAAGCTATTTCCTATTTCTTTTCTTCAAGATTTTCCTCCTCCAACTTGCCAAAAAGAGGACTTGAAATATAAATGAAAATAAAGGGGAGAACCAATTCTGAATGGTTATGGTGAAGCTAAGAGATTTTTCACTGTCACTGTTTGGGCTGGCTCCTCTCACATTTACCTGTTCATGAGTTCTGAGATTGAATATTCTGCTTAAGGCACATTAGAGTCAAAGCAGCCTCTTGCCAACAGTCTTCTCCCTGAGTGCTCACACACACCACAGGTTTTAAATGGCCCAAGGTGGGTCACGACTTGCAGAAAAAAGCCCTAAAGACTTCAGTCTTCAGTTCAGCTCTGTGGCCACTTAAGGAAGCCTTTTCTTCCTCTGTAAAGCAAAACTGGACACATCCACAGGCCCGGGTTCCTAATGGGAGTCCATACATGGTCTTTCCTGGATGCAGGAATCTCCTCAAAATTGTTTTCAAAATCCTGGGCACTCCTCTGGGGAGCAATTCCACAGCTTTCATCCAGCTTGCAAAGGGTCCTACCAACATGACAGTGTAAGAGCCATTGTGCCAACATCCCCTCCAGCCCTTACACCAGGAAGCCATGGGATTGAAGACCAAGCACATGGCCTTGAAACACAATAGTCTCAAGATTTGGGGCAAATTGCTTCACTCTGTGAGCTTCCCTTTCCTGTCTACGAAAATGTACATAAAAATATCTACTTCACGGGGAGTTGATGAAGAGTAAATAATTGGGATGCTGACCAAAATTTCTAATGTATAAAAGTTATTTCCATTATGCATGAAGACAAAAATAATTCAAGAGACTTTTTATGTACCCATTTGACAACTGAGTTTCCCAGACACTGAGAAACTGCCCCTTGTCAAACAGAGCAAGTACAAAGGCACAGACTCCACTCTGAACTTCTCATGACCCACATAACAACACAACAGGTCACATTCAACATACAATGCAAATTGGAGCCTAATAATAGCAGAAATGATGCTCAGGCTTGGGCCCACCAAAGAAGAAATAAAACCAAAAAGATATCATATGGTGACAAGAACTTTCAGAAACAAAGGTATTTAAAATTACCAGTGACCCTTTTGGGGTCTACACACTTACCAGACCTTAAGAAAGCTGGTGGAGAAGAGACGACCGCATCAGGTGAGCTGGCCATTTCAAATTGTTGACTCTAATCATAAGCGTCGCGGGCTAAACTACAGCAATTTTCAAAACTGTTTAGTGAGGGTTAGAGCAATCAGCATTAGATTAATTGAAAGCAGTGTGAGTAGTTATTAAGATGATGCAGTGTGCAACAAAGGCAATAATTGAGGTTCATTATAATTTTATTTTCTCTTTCATGAGTTGAAAACTTGATTTTCTTTTCTTTGATAAATTACATTTGCTTATATAAATGAGACAGGAAATATATCCGCTTACTACACATTACATAAGAGTGACATCCTTTATTGAGCAGGGAAGCGATTATGCTACTATGTAACAATGCTCAGAATTTTGCAGCAGCATCTGCATCAGAGTTAGCTTAGTCCAAGTTTAAAACAGCACAGTGTATATACTCTTCCAAAAGTAACAGGAATCAGGTTGACTGTTTTTAATGACAGTCAGTCAATGATTCACTCAAGAAACCTTACAGTCTACACCTCAGTTACCAAGGAAGAATCTGAAATCTCAACTCACTTGGAGGGATGACTTCAAACGGTCTCTCCTTCTACTGTGATGTGAACATGAAGGAACACCCCACATTTACACCATGCACTTAACTACTTTGCGCGTGAAATTGCATTTAAGTGACTGCAGTCAACAATAGTTAAATAAAATTTCAATTTTTTTCTAAGTTAAAAAGAGAAGGTAGGTTTTCAAAGCTTACTGTTATGACATGCATTTCAGAGGAAACAAAGACTGGAGAAGAAAATGAACCAATGTGCTTATAGAGGAAAGGAGAAATTGCTGTAAAAATATATGTTGAGGGCAGAATTCAGTTCCCTGTAAGAAAACTCCAGTTACTCTCTTTGACCAGATATTATCAATCCAATAACACTTTTTATAGCCATATTGACACACTGTTAGTGGTCAACTCAAACATGACACAAAAATTTCAAGAAAAAGTGTGAAATAAAAATATATGTGACCACTCCAAGTAACTGTATTGACTCTAAAATGTACTAGGGACTATTTTTGAAAAATGCTCTCATACTTTTGTGGTAGTTTTGCTATAATCCTACATAAATAAATGTAAAACTTTTTTTAAGGTTTAAAAATATTAGCAACAAAGATTGGGTGAATTTCTTCTGTATGATTTATGAAATTAGATACTTTATTCAAAATTCAACCAAAAAAAAGGCAGAATGCAGAAGAGACAACTAAGAACTTCATAAATGGGAAAAGTCCAAAATATAATGGGGGCATATTAGCTGAGGGGAAAAAAAAACCCTCTTAATATCAACCAAATGCAGAGAGAATTTTCCTAGGCCTAAGCTTTCCCGTGTTCTTAGATTAGACACATAGACATTAGCATCTCTCAACACGGACATATAGTAACATCAATCCTTTAAAAGAGAAGAGTCTTAGCTGAAGACTTTTCATTCCACCATCTTTCCTGTTTACAGGCACACTTTGAGCTCAAGATTATATCCAGCCAGCCAGGAATAAGGGAAGTTTCAATCCTGTCTCTCAGAAGAGTTACCAGCTACAAGCGCTAACTTCGAAGTCGTGACTTTGCAATTTGAAGAAGTCAGTTTAGGACACTTGAAGTGTTCTAACTGCCTGCGCAGCGTCTTCTGACCTCGGCGGCCTTGGGTTTGGGAGCCGCGACCGGGAACTACGCGTCCCGGGGCCGCTTGCCCGGGGAAGGGCCGGCTTCCTTCTGAGCCCTGACTATGCTCAATGTGACCCACTGCGTGGCCTGACGCCCTGTCCCCCTCAACTTCTGCCACACAGATAACTGGCTCGGGCTCAGAACTTCTGAGAAATGTAAAAGGGAGAGATGAAATAAGGCAAGGAGCAGCGCCGGTTTTCTAGGACCAGATTATAGTCACAGCTAACAACGAAGCTACCTGACTTTTGAGGAGAAACACAGGGAGAACACACTCTTTCCTAGGGATGTGGCCGCCGTCTGATTTCTAAGACGACGACTCCGGAGAAGTCGGCATCACTGCCATCTTTCTAGGGGGAAACACACACGGAGTAAAGTTGGGGTCACTGTCCAATTTCTAAAGGTATGGGAGTCAGCAGGAGGAAGGCCGGGGCCGCCGCCTGCTTTCCCAGGCGGTACACGCCAGCACAGCTCCATCGCAGGGGCTGCACCTGCCTCCCGCCCGAGGCGCTTGAGGAGGAGCACTACCCACGGTGCAGGGGAAGGGGTGGCGCCCCAGCCAGCCAAACCTGAGCGCTTGGTCCGGGCTCTTCGCTCCAAGACCTTCCAGCTGACTTCGGCCATGAGCCCCGCCGCCCCCGCCATCGCGCTCTGGCCGCCGCCCCCGGGGCCGCCCGTCAGCCCCGGCCGGCCCCGCCCCCCCGCGCGACACTGTCGGGAGGCGCGCCGGCCGGAAGTGAGCGCGAGGGCGGTCTTCGACCTAGCTCCACGGCCTCCCAGGCGTCAGAGCGGCAGCCCCAGCGGAGAGCCAGCGGGGAGCCGGCGGCGGCTCGTACGAGCGCCGGGGCTGTGCCATTCTCTCTCGGCCGGCGGCACAGTGCTTTCCGGCTGCCGTCAAGCGCGGCACCGGGCCGGCGGGCGGGGGCCATGGCGGCGGCGGGCCGGCTGCCGAGTTCCTGGGTGCTGCTGGCGCCGCTGCTTGGAGGGCTCGCGCTGCTGGGAGTCGGGCCGGTCCCCGCGCGGGCGCTGCACAACGTCACGGCCGAGCTCTTTGGGGCCGAGGCCTGGGGCACCCTGGCGGCCTTCGGAGACCTCAACTCCGACAAGCAGACGGACCTCTTCGTGCTGCGGGAAAGTCAGTGCTTGCCCGGCCCTCCCTCTGTCCACTGTCCCCGTGCCCCTCCCGATGTTCCCCACACCCCTTGCTCGGATGGCCAGTCCTCCTGCGTTTCCCGGCCCTTCTCTCCCAGCCCTGTGTCTCTCCCTTTATCTCCAGCATCCTTGACAGCTTGCCGGTTTTCTCCATCTTTTCCAACGCCAGGGCCTGGCCTGGCCATCCCACTGTTTGACCTAACCCCCAAAAGCAATGGAAACACCCCAGTTTTTTTCCTCATAAGCTCTAGGCCTTCACCCACGCACCCCCTCCTCCCCATAGAATCACCAGCCTTCCAGAGTCCCTCCTGATTCCCAGGAGTCTTTGTAGCTTGCCTATACATTCCCTCCCGAGGTCTCTCCATCCCCTACCTCTTTACTTCCTCCAGCATTCCTTCCCATTGATGAACTGATGCAACTTGTCAAGTTCTTCTCATGGGAGACTTCTCCCTGCCTCGTTTATCTAATTCACCCCCTACTCCCGCTGTCAGCGTCCCAGCTTTCTCTGAAGCTCCTGTGCCCTCCCAACGCCCTGAACACTCCACAGTTCACACATGCATTTTGCAGGGACCACTGATAAACCCATTGTCTCCTTGGGAAAGGATTCTCAAACTGCAGATTCTTCTCTTTCCTAAGCTGACTAGTCTTTTGTGTGCACCTGATCCTTTCTAGCTTTGGTCACCACCCTAGTCTTTCACATCTCTGCTTTCTTTGCCAACTCGTGGTTCTTGAGAGTTCCTTTTCCTAACCATCACTAAACAAAGTTTTTTGTAAATCTTGATGCTGACAATGGGCTTAGAGGGTCTTAGTGTTCTTGAGTACCCACAGAAGCAGGTACTGTTTAAGATCAAGGCGGTGGAAGGAAGGAAGAGATGTGCTTATACAGACCTTGAATGACACAATTCTGGCTCAGATATCTTGGGGTCTTTGCCTGGACCCCAGAGCCTCTTGTGGATCCTGAATATTGTTCCTCTGTTTGTATGACCCCTTGTATTGCAAGACGAGTGCATACTGCCAAACTTGGAACTACTGTATAGAGAGACTTAACTTTAAAGGTGGATTGCGTGTGCTTAAACAATTTCAGAAGTCTGTCCCAGTGAGCGCTTACTGTGCTCCAAAAATGCATCAACCTGGGGAATGGTTCCACAGGAGCCACAAGAGGAAGGTCTTAGGCAAGCAATTCAGGTTTTTCTGATTAAATACATAATCATGTCCTTGTTGCTAATCCAATACCCACAGTGGGTGTTCCTGTGTCCTTGGTGTGATGCATCTGTGTGGTGAACTAAACAGTCTTATAAGGGGCTGCATTCTTAGGTTTAGGGAGGACAAGGCTTGATATATAATATAGTTATAAGGTATGTCCTTTATGTGGTTCTTTTAAGTCAACCGATCTGACTCCTGGCAGAAGCCATTGGCTTTAATTTATCTTGACCTACTAGGTTTTCCATGTTCATCCTTCCTGTTTCTCTGCTGCTTTGAACATTGAATTTGTGATAGAGTTAGAAATTCCCATTCCATAGATTAGTAGGACTAACCTTGAGAGGGCAGATGAACTGGAGTAAAAGAAAAGTTTTCTTGTTGAGAAAAGTACCTGGAAAACTTCTTGTGACCACTGATTGGATATGTTACCGGGAAACATTTTTCTAATATCATGTATTTGCTTTTTTTAGGAAATGATTTAATCGTCTTTTTGGCAGACCAGAATGCACCCTATTTTAAACCCAAAGTAAAGGTATCCTTGAAGTAAGTACAAATACGTTTCTGTAAAATAGTAGTCATTAGTGTAATAATGGTATGCAGTAGCTAGTTGGATTGGCTTTGAAATCAGTTTTACTCAACTGTGGTATTGACACAAAACCACTAGTTATGAGCTATGAGTAGCAGACATTTTGTTAGGAAAAATACTAAATGTGCCAAAGCTTTAAAGTGATTTACTTTTTAAAAATATAAATAAATTTGAGTGGATCCAGATGTGTTCCTGCATAAACACCCTTTATTCCCTTGCATCAGATATGCTTTCTTGAATGTGTTAGGGATTGTCCCTCATCCTGAGTGTGCTGTGGGAGCAGCTCACTTATGGGCTCGTCAGGTCAACTGTGTGTTTTGTATGAGGTGAGGGAGAGTAGTTTGCAAGAGGGGAGAAGGTCAGTGACTTCTGTTCTGATTTTTTGTTGTTTATTGACTGGTAGATGGTGAGTTTTTATGGTTGATTTTGAAGAAATTCAAATCAAGCTGAATTTTTTAAATATTCAGATAATAGTTGTTATTTTTCTTTTATGTAACTAGCCTTGCTTGAAACACAGTGACCCCTATCAATAGTGAGCAACACAGTTTTGAACCTACAAGAAGCAAGTATTGATTGTTCTCTGATTCAAGGAAGAAGAGATGAGTCCGTGCAGGCTAAAGTGGCATAGAAGGCCATGGGACTTGAGCTTGACCTTAAGTAAAATTTAGGTGAAGGCTTTCAGCTTTAGGATACAGCATTAACAAGAGATGGCATTAAAAACAGTATATTGTGGAGAGGAGGCCGAAAGATTTGCCTAACAAAAGTGGAGGGTACGCTTTGGAGAGTTATGGACTAGGAAGAGATCAGTGCAGACTAGGAACCTTCATAAATATCAGAAAGAGTTAGAACTCAATCCCATGATAAGTGGAGAATCATTACAGGTCCTTGTTTAAGAGAGAGATGATAGGGCCGGCCACATGGCAGATTTGTTAAAGTTCCACATGCTCACTTCCACAGCCCAGGTTCGTGGGTTCAGATCCCAAGCACGAACCTACTCCACTCATCAGCCATGCTGTGGAGGCATCCCACAAGCAAAGAATAGAGGAAGATTGGCACGGAAGATAATTCAAGGCAAATCCTCCACAAGCAAAAAAAGAGGAGGATTGGCAATGGATGTTAGCTCAGAGCAAATCTTCCTCACCAAAAAAAAAAAAGAAAGAAAGAAAGAAAGAAAAAAAAAGATGATGAAAATGGTATTTAAAATTGATTTACTTGTTAACCCCGTGCAGGATGAATTGCTATGTAGAAAGATCAGCAATTATTTAGGAAATGGTTTGAAACACTTTTAAAGTCCCCAATGAGCTAATGAGTGCTCAGATTCTACAATATTTAATTTAAACTCAGACATATATTAAAAAAAAAAAAATTGGCCTTGAGTTAGAACATTGAGAGGAAAGTTATAAATGGATAAACAGGAACTTATCCCTCTTGAGAAATGTTCCTGGGTATTAGATGTCAGCATGCTTAGAGTGGAAAGGGAACAGAAGTTGATAAATATTATGTACAAGAATTGAACTATCCAGAAGTGATTTTTTTTTTGGAAGATTAAAAGTTAAGGAAATTTGTGGTATATAAAGGACTTGGGTTCCACTAAGTTAAAAAATAAATAAATTTCTTTTTCTTTGATTAATGCAGTCTTGTTTTATATACTTTTAAATTTTAGAAACTATTGTTTTTATTTATTTAGAATATTTTTCAAAGTGAAAATAATGATTCTTCACCCTTTTCTCCCCCCACTCCCCTGTTCCTCTCAAATGTAACCACTTTTAAAACTTTTAGCTGTTTCTTCTGGTGTCTATTTCCATATTTTAAAATAAGTTTTTACACTGTAATTTCTTAAGTTATTATTTCATCTCTTGAATTTTTTTTGTTGGCATGGATAAGGATTTAGCATCTTGAAATTATCTCCATCATTTTCATATAGTTATATCACATTTTTTACTTGAATCAGTAGTTGTTGCTTACATTTTGACCATGTAGATTCTGTGTACTTCAGAACCAAGCAGTATACTGTATTTAATTTCTGTACAGTTTTTCCCTTCTGGAGCAAATGATTGCTTTTTAAAAAATAAATTGCCCAGTTTTCTGTGTACCTATCCTTAACTTCTTTGCAGATGTTCCATCGTATCTGCCATATACCTATTGTGCATTTTTGTTTTCCGTTGAGACCTCTGCACTCCTACCCAATCTGGATTCATTCTCTAGGCCTTCTACAGAGCTACAGTTTGGGGCCTTGCCCTTTGCTGTTCTTTGTTTGATCCCTGTTTCTTGGATCCAATGCCATTTTGTTCTTTGCTTCTTCATTTACTTGACTGGAGCGCATCGTCCAGTAAATTCCTGAGAAGGATACACAGTATGTCCTTCCACGTCCAAAAACTTTCCACTCACCCTTAATGCTTTGGTTGGCCTGTAGTCTTCTAGCTTCGTGGGTTGCTATTTTAATCCAATGTTCTTTCTCCTAATCCTTCAGATGTAACTTGTTTTATTTTTAATTTGGGAAGCTATGAGGGTCTCTTCTTTATCTCTTTTGCTCTGAAATCTCATGATGATCCATCTTGGTGTAGATTATTTTTCATTTATTATAGTGGGCATTAGGTGGTCCCCTTCAAGCTACAGGCTTCTATCTTTGGGGCTTTTTAAAATGTTTCATGTTATTTCTTTGATAGTTTTTTTTGCTCTCTTTCAGTAATTCCTGTTAGTTGTTTATTGGACTGCCTGGGTCCATTCTTTCTTTCTTTCTTTTATCTATGTTTTTGTCATTTTGTTTTGTTTTCCTTTCCAGGAGCTTTTCTCAATTTTATCTTAAGTTTTCTATTGGATTTTTTATGTTAGCTGCCATATTTTTTATCTTCAGGAAATTTTCTTTGTTGTCTTAGTGTTCTTTACTCATAGCATGCTGTCATTTTTTTTTATGGACATACTTTTTTACATCTTCAAGTATAATTTTAAAGTTTTATTCTGTTCCCTCTATTATCTCTGTTTTCTTCAGATTCCTTATTGCCATGTGTTTTGGCTCTCTTTAGTATTCATAGTTTTCTTCCAAAGGGAGGTGTCTGTTCACATTTAAGATTTGAGTAAGGCACTCAAGAGCTGACTAGAAACTGCGTGCTGGGCCTTGCCTCCTGCCTTTAGCCCCGTGGGTGTGTCCTGGCTGGCTGGCATCCTGGGAGTAGGGTAGAGCTGGGGGAAGGGTCACACTGTTTCTTGTGTAGACTTCCCATTAACTCCTTGTTTTTAGCTTAAGGCCAAAACCTTACCCTCTGCTGCAACTTAAATCTCTAATGCCTGAAACTTGCCAGAAATAAACTTCTTGGTTCTTGCCTTGGGAAGCAAGAGGAAGAAGGGACCATCACTCACAACACAGACTTAAATTAAACCTCTTTTCAGCCTTGTGCCTCACTCTTGTCTTCCACTGTTTCTGATGACTCCAAATTCTGAGGCTCTCAGGGGTTCTTCAGGGCAAAAAACGTTCCTTCTTGAGTCTTTATCTTCAGGCACTTCAGCTTACAGTTTCCTTGCCCTTCTGAGTCGATTAGCATCCCTCCACCTGCTATCTCCTTTCTTAGCTTTTTGTCTTTGAAGGTTATACTTCTTGTTTTTAATTCATTCCATATCATTTGAAAGAAGAGATACGTGCATGTGTCAATCTGATGTTGTTAAAAGTTCTGCTTCCTATTTTTAAACCGTTAAGAAGCTGGGCAATTGTAGGAGTAAAACCTGATTAGATTAAGTTCCTATCTAATCCTTTGTAAGAAATTCCTATCTATTTCAGAGTACTTCCAGCCCCCAAATCATGAATGTTTTTGGACAAGTATGACTTCCAAGGATGTACAGTTTGTGTTACTGTACATCCATATATACACACATACACATGCGGAGGCATGCACGTTAGGTGCACTTTGCGGCATAGTAGTCTGTGTGATTGCTATATCATCATTTCTAAAGACCAGGTATTTTTCATAGAAAGGTTAATGTATTGTTGGAATTCTTTGAGGAAACTGACATTACCAAAAATATTTTATTGTCATCAGGATCAATTTTAGAGGCCAGCACAACTGAATTTGAATTCCAGCTATTTCATTTAACTAGCTCTTTAAAGTGTTAACACTGAGAGCTACTTAATCACTCCAAACCTCAGTTTGCTGGTCTGTTCATGGAGAATAACAATGTCTGTTCCTGGTGATAAACATTAAATTATCAGATAATAGCTTTTAAGCACTTGGTATACTATCTGGGACACAGTAAGTAGATGCATTATGATAAAGCTATTATTGTTTTTCTTCACTATTCTTAACCTTTTCTGTATTTTCTTCATTTTCATTTCTTATTTTGAAATAAAACATAGATTTCTATAGTCTCAATTCCATTTAGAAAATAATTATTCATAGTCTATTTGGAAACTTGCTGTGTTGCTATTTGCTCTAAGTAGAATTAAATATAAGTTGAATTTAAGACCTATTTTCTGGTTAGATCACTCAGATGACATTATGACAAGACTCCAGAATGTTTTTGTTAAGTTTTCAACGTTAATAATTTTAGAATTATTGTTAAAAATATAAAATTAGGTATGTATGATTTGATAGTATATTGCCAGGTTTGGTAAAAGAACTTATATTCTATTGCAAATCTTGAGTAGTTTCCAGAAATAACATGATTACTTAGTTTTCACTGTAAATTTCAAATCTTCATTAAAATCCACAATTAAATATTTTATGTACATCGTTTAACCGTTAAAATGACAGTGATACTCGTTGCTGCTTTAGCAATTGGTTACGAGCCTCCCTTCCAAATGTCCTGGTGTTCTTGACAAGAGAACTAAGTAAAAAGACGATATTAGCCAAAGCTTGAACATAAAACTGAGCTTTCTCTTGATATATGTCTGCAATTTTTCTTGTTTCTGAAGACTACTCTGCATTCACCCTGAGTTCTTTTGTAAACCAAAGAAGGCTACATACATAAAGGATGATAAGATATTAAAGAAGAGAATGAAATTAATCAGTTCTGTGAAATTTTAAATTTTGTGTTTTTTTTGTGTGGTACAAATATAGAGGTGTCCTTTTTTATTATAACTTGACCGACTATCTTAAAATGCTTGTTTCTTTTAGGAATCACAGTGCACTGATAACAAGTGTAGTCCCGGGAGATTATGACGGAGATTCACAAATGGATGTCCTTTTGACCTATTTTCCCAAAAATATTGCCAACAATGAATTAGGAGCTGTTATCTTCTGGGGACAAAACCAAACATTAGGTGAATTAGTTTTAAGAGTTTTTAATATTTGTCATTGGATATTAAAGGAAAAATTTGCCTGGTATTCTTAGGTAAATGTAACAAAAATATTTCTCTGAAATCAGTTCAGAAATGCAGTTCTTGAGTATCAGTAATTGTCTGTAAAAACTTTTTTAAAGGTTGATTTTTATTTTTCAACCCAGAACTGGTCTGGGATCAATTCCAGAGAACAAAATCCACTCTTTCTAGCTTGAGGAAGAGAGAGATTTATCAAAGGGTTCTTATGGCTTACAGAATTATTGGGATGGCTGAAGAACTCTTTAGTTCTCTGGGCTGAACTTTCAGGAAGCCACTGCCTTTTCATTATCAGCAAGTGGCCAGTTGCACAACTGCTAGAAGGACACTGTCCTTGCTGTGATTCTCACCAGCAAGATGAGTGCCCCGCACCCTGCCTCCTGATGCTCACAAGGTCAGCCATCCGACACTGAAGCAGAAATGGCGGCAGCACAGCCTTCACCTCGTTCCCGCCTTCCAGAACTCACAGGATAGCTGATTGGCAAGGCTTACATTTTCTCCAAAAGCTCAGATGCAAGGATATCTGAGAAATGCTATTTTTGGTTTCTAATCTTCCCAGTGCAGGCAAACACAAAAAAGTTAGAATGAGGTTGAGAATCAGTCTATGACATCCACTCACAAATCTTCAAGTCTTATCTGAAAAGCCAATTAATTATACCTAAATAGACAACTTTATTCATGGAGCCAGATTTCAAGGCCAGGATGGGGGAGGCGGGGGCAGGGCATGGACATTTTAGAGTCAAGTATTTTTGTGTATCTTGCCTTCTTTACACCAAAACCTTAATTGTCAACTGCTCTAGTACTAAATTGGATATAAAGAAAACTAACCTAAGTGATTTTCAGATTGAAGCCTCAAAAAGAAGTTATTATAATGCTAGTCTTCACTGTGGAATGAACTATCCCGATATTTTATCTTTACAAACTTGATGTCCATTTAAGTTAGATTCATAGTATCTCATTAATGGTAATAGTTGGAATTAATTACAGATAAATCTTGAAAAGAGTAAAAGAATATCTTTCCCTAAGTGTTGATTTCAAAAATAATATAAAATGCCTGCTAATTTATATATTTTCTTTCTTCACAGATCCTAACAATATGACTCTACTCAATAGGACTTTTCAGGATGAACCACTAATTATGGAGTAAGTATATGCTTACTTCCCTTTGAATGATTTAAAACTTAGAAGCATAAAATAAAATCTATCACTTAAGAAACTACTTTGCTAAGACAGTAAGTTCATTCTCCCTTTAAAACTGATACTCTTGATTATATTATATTAGCCATGATGGAGAATAGAGGAAAATGAAATTCAATATTTTGGAATGGGGAAGAAATTTGTGTTTTTGTTTTGTTTCACTAGCTTTGAATGTATCCATTATGGATCTATTTTGATTCTAGCCATGTTATTACTCAGAGAATTAAGATAACTCTTTTTTGGGTAAAACTATTAGTGCTTGATTAGCAGATATGAAGGCTACAGGGTTTCCTCTAGAAATTTAGAAAGATTTCTATATTAGGGAGAAGCTTTTGGTTTTTTTTCACAATTCTTCCTTAGTGTTATCATTTTTTTCCTCAGAATAGACTCATGTACCAGGATAAACTGAATCCACATTTCTGTCAGGAGTTTGGTAATGAGGTAGAGAGATCATTTGGGGACTAAAACACTGTGCAGCCACCTTCTCACTTCCAGGGCTGCCTTTTGTACGGTTACTAACATAATAGTCAGACTTCAGTAGGTCAACGGCCGTTAGAAGTCTGAACTATAAGTCCATGGATTAGTCGTCTTAAAGATGTTCAGCTTGATTTCTTTCATAGTTGGGTATTTTTTCATTGTTGTTACAATATTCAAAATTCAAATGTGACTTTTTTATACCAGGTAGGGATTATTTTTGTGGGTTATTTCTCCTAAACCCATCTAACTAAGCAAGTTGGGTTATGATTCTGAAATAAGTGCTGTCTCCTTATTATTCAGGAATAGTCTAGGTTATGCGCAAGTTACAGACAACCCCAAAATCTCACAACAAAAGTTTATTTCTTCCTCACACTACATGTCCAGTGTGGGTCAGTGATAGGCTCTGCTCTATGCCATCACTCAGAGTCAGGCTGTTGGAGCCCCATCATCTGTGGAGCTGGCCCATCTGGACCACATACTCTTTTCATTACCATGGCAAGCTTAAAGAGGGCTGGAGAGTGCAGTGACAAAAATTAAACACTTTAGCCTGGAAGTGACACGTGTCACTTCTGCTGACATTTCATTGACTACAACAGATACTAGTGAGCGTTGTAATGTCTACCACATCTCTCAAAAGTTATGTTTCTTTTAAAGCTAAGTTACAAGGGAGAATTTAATAAAATAGTTGCTTAATGTTTTTAATGTTTCCTTTTCAGCTTCAATGGTGATTTAATTCCTGATGTGTTTGGTATCACAAATGAATCTGATCAGCCACAGATACTATTAGGAGGGTGAGTAAATATGATTATAACCATGTAATTAATGGCACATATTGCTGCTGCAAGGACTGGGTGTCTGTGTGATTTGATTGCTTTACCCATTGGGAAGAATCCCAGCTCAGTGGAAATCTTTGTTGGTAAAGATTTTTAAAAGGGCATTTGATCAACATAAAAGCTTTCTCAAATGGTTGGATTTCATCTGTAACTGCTTTCCATGTAGAGCCAGCTTAATCCGTTTATCCCTCTGGAAATTAGAGATACAAACTTTACAGGTCCCCATCTAAATATTAGTTCGTTAGATGTTTTTAGAAATGGAATGATTGAATTTAAATAGGATAGATAGCTGAGTATCTTGGATGGATTTTCCACCTTAGTCATGTTAGCTCTCAGACTTTTGTTAATAAGTCTTGTTCCTTCTTTCCTTTATTTGTTCAGTGAGCAATCACTAAATGCCTGAAAATGTAAACATTCCTTCTGTAAGCTCTGGAAACTGTTCTGTGTATACTTTATCCTTGACCAATATGTGTGCTGGGATTCTTATTATCCAAGCATGGCGTTCTTAAGAAAAACTGCCTGGAATCTTGCAATTCAAAAATCTCAATTATAATTCTTCTACATTTAAATAGAATGGTCCTCCTAGCACAGGAATTCGTGGTAGCAAGATACTTTCACGAGCTACCTTCAACTTGGTTAATTTTCTCTGTATTTGATAAGGCAAAAATTTAGTTCAAGAGTACAGAACACATTTATTAACTTTTTTGACTTTCCAGCATGTGCAGGGAGCCATTGTGATCAATTTGCCTTCCCCAGGTACTTGAAAATCTAATGAATTTTCCCTCTGTGTTTGGAGAAGTAATGTATTTTTATGATTGGTTTTTGAAATGTGATTCACAGGCACACGGAAGAGTAAATTGTTAAAACTTAAGGTATTCTGTGGAGAAACTGTCGCATTTCCTATTACTTTCTCTGAAGGTTTTCCATAAAGAATATGGGTGTTTTGATGCTAGTCATGGTGACCTCTGAAAGAGTTATTGTGAATCTTAAATGAGAAACCTGTTTTTTCCCTAAACTTTGAAAAATGCCTGGAAGAGAGTCCTGCTTTGGAGACCAATTGGATGGAGATCCTGCTTTGCGTTTGTGGCCATCTCTAGGAGGAGCTGAGTGCGAGCAGCATTGGGGAAACGCACAAGCCACTCCTACAGGGGCAAGCCCTGCGAGTTTTGGGGACTACTTAAGAAATCCTGTTCTTTCCTTTCATCTCCTCCTTTAAAGGCAGTCATGTGATTGAGAATGTGATGGTGACTTCTGGCCTGGTTCATTTCATGGTAACCTCCATTTTAGTCAGAGAAATACTTCAAATATCTTTAATATGATATAGTTTGATCTTTAGAAATTAAAACTTGTGAAATAACTATAATTGGTAATTCAGAAAAGTAAAACTAATATCTTTATGGATTTTCTACTTAATCTACAAGAAAACTATTTAGAATATCATGTGATAGTGTCATAGACATGTTTGCTTTTATTTTTTATACATTATACTCTGGTATATTTAAGTATACTGGACTAATATTCTGGTATTTTATGATATTTTTCATTTAAACTTCAGTTATAGATTGAACAATAGTAGCTAACCACACTGTACATGACAAGTTTGTATTCTGGATTTCGACATTCTAGTCTGGTATACTTCAGTATACTGGAGTAATACTCGTATTTTATGATATTTCTCATTTAAACTTCAGTTATAAACAATTGTAGCTAACCATATTGTATGTAACAAGTTTGTATCCAAGATTTGTTCTGATGCCAATTTAAAAAAATAAGTTAGAAAGATTGACAGAAAAGAATCTCTGTCAGTTACGTTGTTGGATGACTGTGGCCTAGTGTAGGGGAGACGACAGTTCCTCTGCCCCTGGTCCTTCTGGCTGCTCTAAGAATTAAAGTGACATGAGTCAGGACAGCAGGAGAAAATAAAATGCAGTCTAATAACATGTACATGGGAGAAACCCAGGAGGGCTGAGTAACTTGCCAGAATGGCTAAAGCCACCACCTTAAATACCATCTTCAGCTAAAGACAAAGGAGGATGTTAGGGGTAGTGGTTTGGGACTTCAGAGGGTGGAAGACAATTTTCATGAATATGGAAATGTAAATGTTTGATAAACTAGTGTTTGCCGGGCTATCTATCAACAGTGTGACCCAAGAGACAGGACTTTGATAAAAATGGGCTTGCCGGTGACTTCCTGTCTATCATACCTGTTTTACATTATACTATAGTTACGGCGTTAGTTCCTTCCTGGAACAGGCCTTCTGTCTTAAATTCTTTTAGGCAGTTAAGGGAAGGTCAAAGTTTCTTTCATAGTCTTTTGTTCTTAAAAACAATCAAGCTGAAGAGACACATTTCAGGGTGGCCAGCTCTGACCCCCCACACTAGCAATATCATGATTTAGACTGCAGAAAGCTGAATATTTCCTTAGGGGAGCAAGCATTAATATGTTACTAAAATAAGAAAAATAGATTTAGGCCATATCAGTTTTATAAGTTACAGACATATGCATAGGTGCATAAATGAAAAAGTTATCAGCGTTGACATTTTGGACTATTCGCATGACCTCTGATTGGCAGTCCAATCCTATTTATCAAAAGATTTAACCTACCTTTTGCAACTTAAATATTATGCTTTATGGGTATGCCAGACCCAAGATTATCTTAAATTTAATTAAATTTGGCCAGTACCTTAATTTTATGGGAAATTTGCAATGATCTTTAAATAGAGTGCTGAATGCTCCCATAGGATTGTGCTGGAAAGCCCAGGGCTGTAACCTGGCCCAGTACAGGCATGGAAGTAGGAGATTGCCCACAAGTCGAACTAGCATGACCAGTTTGGCTGGAGTAAAGGTGCAGTTGTTCAGTCTAAGCAGGCGGTGGTAATAGGCAGAAGAATCCCTTTTATTGGTACAGTAGGGGTTATCTGACAGGGGCAGAATGGGTGCTAAATCTACTGAGGCGCCAGAGATCATTGAAGTGTGTTAAATGGTCAAAGGTGAGGCTTCAGTTTGTGCCTCAACCTCACTTTATAATGATGTGAAATAATATAATAATGTGCTGCAATACTTAGAAATAACACCTAGCTAATAAGTGTTAGAAGAGCTTTTGCAGTGATGTGAGGTTATCATTAATGAGCATTTTCTATAAAAGGATGTTTGAAACTGGTGTTGCATAAGCATTCAGAATATTGTTTTTAGTATTGAAATGAAAACATTTGTACCTGTAGCTCTTATCAAAGCCAAATGTAATGTTGCTCTGCTCAGATTTTTTATGATTCATATGCTGAGTTCAAACACAGTTCTGGGTCAGGTCCACGTTGTGTATACTTGGGAATGTTAATGTAGCTATGGGTATGTGACAGATAAATATTTTGCCATACTCTGTTTACTTCATGAGTGATCATGAAACTTTTTTTTTTTTTTTTGGTGAGGAAGATTGGCTCTGAACTAACATCTGCTGCCAGTCTTCCTCTTCTCACTTGAGGAAGATTGTCACTGAGCTAACATCTGTATCAGTCTTCCTCTGTTTTGTATATGGGATGTCACTACAGCATGGCTTGATGAGCGGTATGTAGGCCCACACCCAGGATCTGAACCTGCAAACCCCAGGCCACCAAAGCGGAGTGCGCAAACTTAACCACTGCGCCACTGGGCCAGCCCTGAAAATTTTCTTTGTAATATTATTGGCACTGAAAGCACTCATTTTATCTGTTATGCGGGTGGGTATTTTTACCAGAAAAAACTAGATCTTCTATTTAAATATAGTTAGCTACTCTTGACCCAGAAGGAATAAATCCCTGTTCTTCCATGTAATCTTCTGTCTTTTCTTACATTATAACCAATTATTGGTTTATTAAACCACCCTTCATTCTTACTGCTGATTTTGTTAGAATTATAGAAAATACTGCAAATGCCTATCTTAATGAAATATATTGTATCACTTAAATCTGTTGTTTAGAAAAATATGAAAATTCTGATGAGATTTATAAGACAAAGGAAAACCAAATAATTATCAAGTCGACTTTTAATTTTGTGATCAGCCTTGTGCTCATAATCTTAGCAGAAACAGGTGGCTTTGAGATGATTCACGTTTTCTAGAATCCTGCTAGCGAGCCCCCTTCTAGCCTTGTACGCCATTTATGCTTTGAACGTTGCTCTTTAAAGGAATCTGTTAGAACTTGAGACATAAGTTTTTTACTGGTGTTTCCATAGAATAAGTGCGTCAGTTTTCTAACTTTTCTCTTTTCCTAAGAAAGCTTTGCTGTTGGGGATAAAGTCATTTATTCTCCCATTGTTGCTCACCTTCAGCTTTTTCAAAACTCAGCCACAGAAATAGTGAGCGGCTTTAGCAGAGGACTGAACATTGCATGTGCTGTGATCATTGTGAGTGGCGTGTTACTTAGGATCTGTAATTTTATTTTCTGGAGTCCCACTGGGAGCTTTTGAGGGGTCAGTGAGACGCCCGGGAGTCCCTGGTGGTGTCTCGTACTGCTCGGTTTTGGGTTCTGGCTGGCAGTATTGGATGTAAGTGAACTTTTGTTTGTTTCTTAGTGAATGATTTAACATGTTATTCTCAAAATTTACTCACTTTACTTTTAGTTAAATCTTACAATTTTTAGATATGTATTCTTTGTAGTAATCATTCAGAAAGATAAGCTTTTGAGAAAAGCATAGTTTTATAGTTTCTGTGCAAAGAAATTTGACAGTAACATTTCATCATAAATGTTGATGATATTTAAAACTGTCTGAATTCAGCATATTTCTATTAGCATGTATCAAAATTTTATTTCATTCTTTGAGGGGAAGGTTTTGTCTTGTTTCATTACTATTTGCATATGTATTGAAAAAAGTCCATTTTAAAATGAACGTAGAATACCACTGAACCCCTTAAAATTGTTAAGATGGTAAAATTTATGTTATGTATATTTTACCACAATAAAAAAAATTGCAGGGGCCAGCCCAGT